AGCGACCCTATATACAACAGAACAAAACACTGCCCCGTCCTGCGCCACGCTCAGAATCGTTGTTATGCTTGAGCCCATTGTTGCACCCACGGTGTCAGTCCATCTCATTGAGGGTCTTCCTCTTTTTTGCTGACCCTGTACTTTACCAAGCATGATGTCCTTCTCCAGTGACTGATCCCTCCTGACAACATGTTGAAAGTATGCAAGACACACTCTTGCCATCCTTCCTTCCAAGGAGCATTCTGTTTGTACTTTTTCCAAGATGGATTTTTTCGTTCTTTTGGCAGTCCATGGGATATTCAGTATTCTTCGCCAGCACCACAATTCAAAGGTGTCAGTTCTTTGATCTTCCTTATTCATTGTCCAGCTTTCACACACGTGTGATGCGATTGAAAACACCATGGCTTGGGTCAGGCACACCTTAGTCTTCAAGGTGACATCTTTGCTTTTCAAAGTTAACCATATTACCCAGCAATTCCACTCCTAGGTATATACCCATGAGACTTGAAAGCAGTGATTCAAACAGACACATGTACACCAATGTTCACTGCAGCACTATTCACAATAGCCAAAAGGTGGAAACAGTCTGAATGTCCATCAGTGGATGAATGGATGAACAGATGTATGTATATGTGGTGTATACATACAATGGAATATTACTCAGCCATAAACTCGTTGCTGTTGAGTCGATTCCAACTCAGTGACCCTATAGGATAGAGTACAACTGCCAAATAGGGTTTCCAAGGAGCAGCTGGAAGATTCAAACTGCTGACCTTTTGGTTAGCGCTGAGCTCTTTAACCACTGTGCCACCATGGGTCCATAGCCATAAAGAGAAATTAAATCCTGATACATGTATGCTACAAGGATTAACCTTGAAAAGATTACACAGAGGGAAATAAGTCAATCACAAAAGGACAAATACTGTGTGATCTCATTTATACGAAATAACAAGAAAAGGCAAATGTATAGAGACCAAAGTTTATTAGTGGTTACCAGCGGTGGGAAGAAGGGGTAAAGGGAGCTTGGGAAGCAGTGAGTTTCTGTTTATGGTGATGGGAAATTTGGCAGCTATTATGGGTGATGGTTGCACACCATGGTTAATATAAATGATATCACTAAATTGTAACCTGAAAAATGTTGAAATGGCAAATGTGTTGTTATAAAAATATTTATGACCTGTTCCACCAAACCCACTGCCGTCGATTCCAACTCATAGCGACCCTACAGGACAGAGTAGAGCTGCCTCATAGGGTTTCCGAGGATCACTAGTGGATTTGAACTGCCAACCTTTTGTTCAGCAGCCAAGCTCTTAAACACTGTGCCATTAGGCCTCCATTTTTATGACACACACACACACACACACACACACACACACACACACACACAAATGTCTAACAACTCTGTCCAGTATTGTAGCCATGAGCCACCTGTGGCCATTGAGCCCTTGAAATGTGGTCAGTCCAAACTGAGATGTACCATCAGTGTGGAATACTCACGGGGTTTC